TTTCTTTCTTTCTTTCTTTCTTTCTTTCTTTCTTTCTTTCTTTCTTTCTTTCTTTCTTTCTCTCTCTCTCTCTCTCTCTCTCTCTCTCTGGTGAGCATTGTTGGCAGACACTGCCGGGAGGTGGTGTTTGTAACGTTCCGATGCTGGGTGAAGTCCTGCAACTTTTCAAGGTACTCCTCTTGCCTTTCCTTGGCCTTGTCTTCAAACTCCTTTTTGTCCTCTGCAGACATACCTCCGGGCAGAAGGATTTGGTCGATTTCAAGCCTTTCAGTTTGGACCTGTTTCGGTGGTTGGACCTGAGCAAAACACGGCCCCTTTGATCTGGACGCTGTGGGCATCAATGTCCCAAAAGATCCAGGGACCGTTTTGACCATGGGTTCTTACAAGAAGATTTTCTTGAAGAATTTGAGCGGTTCTGCGTCCTTGCTACTTGCCAATGTTTCAAGCTAACTTGTTCTTCGTATGAATCAGCTACCTGGTAGCTTCCTCCTTTTGCCGTCCCAATCGGTATTTCGCCTCGGTAGATTTCCGCCATCTTGCCGTTCAACTGGAGGCCCTGGGGAACAATCGATGGCGATCGTTTCCTGGGGGCAACTGGGCAGTCGTTCGGTGACTGCAGCGACTGCGCCGGCCTTCAGGCCCGGAAACTGCGCAGCATACTCGCTGCGCTTCTCGTTGCAGAAAAGCAATGTGGCATTGGGTGGCCTAGCACTTTGCAAAACAAGAGAGAACACTTTCAGTCAAAACAAATGGAGGCAGTGATATGTGGAAGCACATTGAGAGGCCGAGTGGTAGTGTGCAAAGTTATTCGTGCACCCAAAGAGTCCACTCAAAACTGCACTGAAGGTCAGGTCGAGTTGGCTTCACCTTAGTACCCACTGTTCATCATACCATGAATGGGCTGGTGCCACAAATCAAGATTTGAGATTGTCCCATTGGCAGTTTAGCTCCCAAGTCCCAAGCTGTTTACTGTTTCCCAACTCGCCCTGTTCACTCTGACTTAAGCAAGCTCAACGTGGATTCTTGCATGGCCCTTGACAACTCAACGTGGATTCTCAACGTGGATTCTTGCATAGCCCTTGACAATTCAATGCGTGCCTGCATACCGTCGCAAAACTTATATTTCTCTCCATCGCCACTTTATTGTGTGTGTGAGCGCATGTGCACACGCTGGTGAGCAAACCACCTCCAGGTAACACAGCAGAGTCCGTTTCATTGTTTAGAACCCAAAAGCGAGATACAAAACAGAGATTCCAATGGTCTTTCACAATGTCTTCACCAACCATCGGGTTCTCCCGCATACCACGCCTTTTGGGCTCATCCTTTAAAAACTTATGCCGGGCATTTGTGAGCTTCCGCCTGGGCTAGCAGGAAAAAAACAGCTTCACACTGGTCAAGCGCGTCAAGGTTCAGTTGGTTGCCACTTTGGCTAGGGAAATGTCTGTGTGGCGTCTGTCAAATCGACAAAGAAGAAGAAAAAGAAGCGTCTGCGATCAAAGCTGCCTTTTCTCGAAGGCTCTCGTCTCTTTGATGTACTTCTTGCCCTCCTCGGTGCTCTTCCATTCTTTCATCTGGTCCTTCGCCATCAGACAAACACGAAGAAGGACGAAGGAAAGAAATGGAACATGTCCAAATTTTGTTCGGCATTCACGGGTCTCCGTCTCGGAATGTCTCAGAAGCACGCAAACCGTCACAAACCAGTTGTTGCAGAATTGAAAACCCGTTCCTCAAACTCTTTCTTCGCTTCTTCAGCTCGCCCTCTGTACTTGGCCTGCCAGCGCAAAACCAATTCTACTCACCCAAAATGACCTGATGAGTGGTAAATGCACCCAGAGCCTTCTCCTCTGCAGGGAGCTCTTGGAAAGCCGCGACCAATTCAGAAGTCTTCTTGCCAGCGCCCAACTGGCCAGGTGTCACGGTCTGCACTCAAAGGATGACAAACTATGGTGGCCCCTAGTAGCTACTTGCTACTAGTAGTACGGCCAGGAGCCCCAAGTAGCGTCCTTGCTCCTAGTAGCGATGCCAGGAGCCCCTAGTATATAGCTTCGTGTTCCTAGTAGCAGATTCGGCCAACCTCAAAGAGGCAAAACTGCAGAAAGGACTCGGAGTGATGGAATCAAAGAAACATGGAGCGTTCCTATAGCATCCGCTGCAATGCCAATGAAGCATTTGCACAAGAAAGTTGCACAAAAACCGTGTGTGAGAGAGCATTGGCTCCCTGTTCATTTTATACTTTCCGTATTCAACTGCTTCTTGGCCTCATCCTTGTAAAGCTTCAGGGCATCTGGTGGCTTTGCAGGCATGGTGCCAGGCTTCTTTGGCGCACCTGGGCTGGCAGCTCCATGCACAACTCTCAGCTCTTAGCACAGGCCACAAAACACAAGTGTTATTTGATGTTGTTTGATGCATCTGAGTACGGCTGAATGTCATGTCCAAATGTGCCCGGTATTTCCTGGCCTGAGCTGGCCTTCGGCTTGTGCGAGAGTCGCTTTATGGTCGAGGCATACTTCTTGAAGTTCTCAGTCGCTTTGAACTCAGAAAGGTTGGCCTCCGAGAAAGGGGCTGGTGCACACTCAATCATGGCTTGGCTGCAAAAATGAGCCACAACAAGAAACTGAAATGCAAACTTATCCATGAGCAAAGCTGTGAACGTATATTGAATCTGCGGGGATCATCAACACGCTTCTATATATATACATATAATAGTGATTGCATCTCCAACGACAGCCGTGGAAAGCACGGTGCAACGGAACATGGTACACCAATACCAAAAAGCCCCTCGCCTCATATTCTGTCAAGAGTTGATTGCCCTTGTCTTCGTACACCTTTTTTTTCCTCATCACTCAGCGCTTTCCTGAGATCAAATGCAATCGACCGCACGTCGCCCGTTAGGATCAAACGTCACTAGGCCACTGGGACCGGAGCACAAAGGTCTAAATCTCTTCAGAAAACATCGGCCATGTGTCCAGCTGTTGGTGATCTCGGCTTTGAGATCAGCACCTTTGAGATCGGGTTTGACCTGAGGAAAACGCGCAAAGCAGCCCCACCACGTGCCTACATTGGCCTACATGCACACCTATTCGCTTTGCAGCCGTCAGTGATCCTCATTGGGCTGATAGACTTGAGAATCCGAAGGATCCAGGAAAAGCTTCCAGAGCATGAAGAACGCGCGAGGGCTGTCTGTCTTTGTTCTTGTTCACTGCCGTGTTTGTGCGTGGGAATTGCAGGATAACACTAACACGTGAGCGATGCAGTGGCGCGCAGGAGCATCTTGTATATATAATACATTGCGCAGGCCTTGCATGCAAGAGTCTCACGCAATTCGTTCGGACAGAGATCCCAATGCCACATGTCGCCTCTGCCCACCATCTACAACACTTTCCCGGAAAGCAAACCGATGAGCAAGGAGTTTCATGCAGCATGGCCATGACCACAGAATGCTCACTGAATGTTCCGCCTTCTTTAGCTCCTTGACCTTGTCACGCGTGTAGAGCTGCAAGTGTCCCAAGGGCTTCTTCGGCATGTCCACCAAGAACTTGTCTTTGGCGATGGCTGTCCTTATTATTGTTTCTACTCGAGCTACTGCATCAGCTGAACACAAAGCATTGCTGTGCCTAAGAGGCACTCAGCCAAGAAGATCAGAGACTGCATCGCGTGGCAGCCCCAAGTAAATATATATAGATTCAGATAGAATACAATACGTACAGATCTCTGTTGAAGCAAGGATTGCAATCCCTTCCCTGATGTTCACGAAAAAAAGAAGCGTCAGGTATGTTGGTGCAGTTCAAATGGTCTCTTCTTGTGACAAGTCTCGCGCGGCTCTTCTGGATCTGTTTCACCTAGCATGGCCGCAGCTTGTAAAGCAATCTTCGCGCACTTGATAGCTTCTTTTGGCATGTGTAGTTTGGGGATCCTGTCCTATTCAAGTTGGAGTAAGAACCCAATCATGGAGAGCCCGGAGAGCATATCCACTACAGCTATGCCATGCAGCCATTTGACTTTGATTGTCATAGTGGAATACAGCTTCAGTTCATTCTTTGCGTGCTGAGTTTGTCTGGGGACGTTCTGTGAACTTTTCTAAATCATTGAATGAAACGAAATTGCGTATGGATGCATATGGCACCTTTTCCCACAGGTGCTACTAGCCAACTGGAAGTGGTGCAAATGTCTACGAATTCATCCATAACATGCCACAAGACTGTGTGCACAACAGGTTTCAAACGCATCTACAGGCACAGTGTTTGAAGGAAACTTGAAAAAAGCAGCGGCCTTCCTTACATACTGCTTCCCCTCCTCACTTGTGCGGAAAGCCTTGGGTATGCGAAGAGTGGACTGGCTTCTAGCTGTGACATCGTTCCACAATCCATACTCCATAGTAATAGTGTCAAATTACACACTGCATTGCTGCTCGTAACCAACTTCGACTACAAGGTGCATTGAGAGCCTCCTGATATTCAAGTGCCAGTTCTGCCTCCTTCTTCGAGTAAGTGCTCTTTTCCTGCCACGCTGACTCTGCGAAACATACTCACCGCGGCTCTGTGTGATTCTATTGAACCGTTCTATTTTGAGGTAGCAGCCATTTCCCTCAACAGGGCAACCTGGAATTCGGAGGAAAAGCAGTGTCGCAGGGACCACTCTCCCTTGGCCTGACTCAGCTTGGACTCGCCAATAGTTTAAGGCCAAGGCAGTCCTCTTCGCTTAAGGCATCCCACATCTCTTGCAACTTTGAGGGGTCGTCAACTTCTTTCCTTAGATGGATTGATACGAGGGTGGCTTCTGCTTGAAAAAATTGCCGGGCAAAGGAGGTGACAATTTAGTTCTACCGTGCATTGATTGGCGGGATTGGCTTCAATCCTTCGAGTCGAGGTGCCTCTTTTCCAGGAAGTAGATGCGTCTGGCTTTTGCAGGCTTGGTGGGCATGCTCTCCGGCCGGTCAGGCAGCGGTTGCAACTTCATGCCGTTCTTCAACTTCTTGATCCTAGGGCTGACCAGGCTGAGCTTGGCACTGGGCCACTCGGCGCCACGACCATCTCTCATCCACGTTTGTTTGATTTTGTTTGCCTGCGCCTCAGCCCTGCAATCTCTCTTGTGCCAAGGTTCGCCTTCTTCTTGCTGGACAGAAGCGACCGGACTGGAACCTTCAACGACTTTGCCTCTTCGATGTACTCCTCAAGAGCTCTATATGAGTAGTTGCCTAAGGCCTTAGCCTACTATCACTACAAACAGGCTGCACAAACCTGAGCCGCCGGTCCTTCCACTTTGGAAGCTCCATGTAAGCCTTTACTTCCTCCTCCCACTTCTTCCTCTTCTCCATTCGCTTCTCTTCATAGACGTTCTGAGCATCCTCGCAAACTCGGAAACTTGCTACAAAAATGCTACACAACTCCTCACGTCATGTCAGCTCTTGCAGCACACTAAACAAGCATTCCACAGTACCATACTTCTTGAAAGGCTATTCCGTCTTGATGAGAACTGCGACCTTGTCGAGCTTGCTCCAATCTGCCTTCAACTGAGCAACCTGCAATCCAGATGATCTCTCTCGCACCAACACTCTGGTGAGTCTACTAAACAATAAGAACCTGAGGCATCCTGAGGCCAGATTTTGAACCAATTTGGTGCTGGCATTGTAGCTTCAAATCTTCACGATGATTCTTAGCATATACGTGCAAAACCGCATGCATTGCTCAAACCTATCTTCTGACACAGCTCGAATTTGGGTTTGGAACTGGCGGCAAAAATTAACAAGTCCAGATGCAAAGGTTTTTTTCCGTTCTGGAAATGCGGTGCTAAGCTGTGCATAGGGTTGCAACAGGCGGGCAAAAACTGAATCTGCTTCGGGAAGACCGGCCGGTATTGAAATTTAGCTGTGTAATATAAGTGCGACCAGCACATACCCTGCAAACCTTTAGCACATGTCTTTGCTAGTCGGGTGCGCAACTTCCTTGACAAAAGAAACTGGAAGCTACACATAACGCTCCCAATGTGCACTTGTTGCAGAACGAAGAAAGCGTTCCTTGATTGGTGATGCTGTGACTCTCACATCTGAAAATGGTGGCGGAGCTTTAGAACCCAATGTTTACCCAAGTGGGCAAGACCTCTCTGGTAAACATAACATGCCAGTGCAACACCTATCTCCCAAACAACAGTGTGGTTCATTGTCTTCTTCCTCGCCTCCTCCTTTATCTGCCCCCTGGTCCTTTTCTTGGGAGCTCCTGCCTCTCCAGCTGCACGCCTAAGGGTGAGAGAGAGAGAGAGAGCGAGCTGCACTGCGGGGCACAAAACTTTGCTTGAAATGCCTCGACTCAAAAGTAAACCGCCTCTTCTCCCCAACGTACTCGGCAAAGGCATTCTTCGGAGGTTCTGCGGGTGCGTCGCTGAGGAACTTCAATGTCATGACCTGTGGGGATCGACATTAATCATTACAGTAATCTCCTCTCTCTCTCTATACAGTATCTCAGTATCTCTCTTGTGTGAACTCTTGAGCTAGGAGTATCATCTGTGAGCACCAGCCGTACACGATATAAGGATACAAAATCAAGGTCGCGTGCAAATAACGGACCATAGCTTTCTGCAGCGTTGGTGCTCCAAAAGGATGCGCTTTTTGGTACTTTGTTGTTCTTCTTGAAAGGTCATCCTGTTCTACTTCTTATGAAACAAGAGTCTGGCCCTTTCCTTTTTCATCACAAAGGAAATCAGTCACTATTCACATGATACAGTATGTTTTCCGGATCCAAGAGCGACGAATCGCAACTTATACAATTCTCAATGAGACGACCGCGCAAAGAGCATGAAACCATCCAAAGCCTGGAACAACTAGTTGCTCGCAACCAACGTTGATGTCCCCCCCCCCCCCCCCCCGGCACCAATAGCATCCAACACTCCACAACACCCACCAACTCCAACACGGACAACATGTGAGGCTCCCAGATGACACAAAACAGTTGGGGCGAACATGATGTCTACGAGAGCCTTCTTTTTCGAAGACTGTCCCCGGAGACCTTGGGCCGCACCTCTCACTTTGCAATGACGGTGCATATTGACAGCACCCCAACCGGCCATACTTTGCCATACTGGAAGCTTGCAGAGCACAACAACGGCTTATATAAAAATTTGAGCTGAAAGCCTGAAGACGCGCCTTCATCCCTTCCGTCATCAGTTCCCTCTTGATCTTACCATTCTGCTTCTCAAAGGTCTGGCAGTAGCAGAAGTTTAAAGTCTATTTTGGCTACAGTCTTTCTAAAGCTGTCCCCTTGGTGCTTGGCCTTGTAAGTCTCGCCCTCCTTATAGGTTTTCATCTCTTCATCATACTTTTCACGGAGCTCGGCCTCTTTCTGCTTGTAAATCAGCTTCCTTTGCAGAATCAGTCTCTTTCAACAACTGGTTTGGCCAAACGCTGATTGAAAAATGCTAACACCCAAGAATTCCACATCCAATCAAGTCATTTGTGTAGCGGAGACACTTTTCATCTTCCATTTCTTGGAACTTATTCTTCACAAAGTTCATGCCTTTGCCTCCAGCCGGATCCAGCTGATCACTGAGACCCCGTATCTTTCTTCGGTCACGTGCCTTCTCCTTTGCCAGTAGGGACCTCTTCCTTGATGTCTTCTCTGAACAAGGCGTAGACCTTAGCCGAACCCCCGCACATACTCAGAAGATGTCAGAAGGCTCTTGAGTAGTTTCTGGTGGTTCAACCAGGGAGCTGTCTTCGGCTTCTTCGGCATGTCCCGCAAATTCACTTGCCGGTTCTCCTGACACATTAAATCATTAAATGACACCTGATAAAACATCTGCACTTAAACAAAGCACAAAGCTACTGAGTGGATCCGAGTGGCGCGTGTTTTCACAAGTGAGCGCTTCTGCAAGAAGGTGATGTAGTTCTGTCGGAGCCAGCGGGCCGATGGGAGGATGATAATTGTCAAACTCGACACCCTACGAACAAGAAGCTACTAGGGGCTCCTGGCATCGCTACTAGGAGCAAGGACGCTACTAGGGGCTCCTGGCCTTACTACTAGGAACAAGACGCTACTAGAATGCAAGGACATGTGACAAACTAGGGCCTTCTGACGCTTGAAGTCCGCCACTTTCCTCAGGCACGCCCGCCAAACAAACTGGAATGGAATCTTGGAGAATAAACCTAAATATATCTATTCAGTCAAAGCTTGGAGAACTGGGGCCTCCCTCGGAGTGAAGAAAACATAAAAACAGAAAGAATTGAAGATGTAGAGACGATGAAGCAAGAGAAAGTACTGATTAAACTCGTGGAATGAATAGAGTAGTGGGCCTGAAATGTATAAGAGGCAAAAGAGGGCGGAAAAGAGGGACAAAGAAACACACCAAAGAGCACTGTAAAGAAAATCACAAAGCAAATTGACAAAAATGACGAAGGAGGCGAAGACCGGCAAAGCAAAGCAGGAAAATGAAAATTAAATACATACAAATAAATTCAAGTTTGACAAATAGAACGGGGAACTGGGTCCCTGAAAGGTAAACGACAAGGAACCGGTTCCAAGAATGAAGGACAAGAAAAGGATAGCAATCTAAAGGAACAACGCTTGCATAGACCCCCCCCAAACAAATATGTATATGTTTGGTGGGCAGCAACAGCACCCTCCAGCACCCAAGCTCCAAAGTGCACACAGCCATGGACATCTCGCAGCGGCACGTCATGGACATCTTGTGCCATGGCCATGGACATCTCACAGCAGCAGCACTGGAGAAGCAGCCTGCAGCGGCACCCTGCAGTGGCACGCTGCACACCCAAGCTTCGAAGCGCATACAGCAGCGTCACCCTGCAGCGGCACCAGCACCCAGGCTCGAAAACGCACACATGCAGCTCTTCCTATACTTGCAGTAAGAACCCCAATAGCTCACGCTATCTGGTGAAAAACGGTGGACTAAAACAAAGGAATATAGTGGGGAAGGGATGGACAACCCAACAAGCTATTAGACAATTGCAGGGTTGCAGACTGGGAAAACAAAATGATACGAGGAGAAAGCAATTTCTTGGCCCTCGTGCTTCTTGTACTCCTCTTTCAGAGCGGCTGCCTGATAAAGAAATCAGTGGCTCTAAACCAAGCCAACTGGAAGGCCTTCGGTCTGACTAGCCTCATTCTCAAAGGGCTCTTTCTCCTCTGGGGTCGCGTTCTTCCATTTCTCGCCCATGATCTTGCCTTAAAGAACCAAACAAACAAATGGCCTCCAACCTACTAGCCATGGCCTCCAACCTAATAGCGATGGCCTTCAACCTAAGAGCGATGGCCTCCAATCTAAGAGCGATGGCCTCCAACCTAAGAGCGATGGCCTCCAACCTAATAGCGATGGCCTCCAACCTAAGAGCGATGGCGTCCAACCCAAGAGCGATGGCCTCAACCTAAGAGCAATGGGCTCCAATCTATATAAGAGCAATGGCCTTCAACCTAAGAGAGTGATGGCCTCCAACCTAATAGCGATGGCCTCCAACCCAAGAGCGATGGTCTCCAGCCTAAGAGCGATGGGCTCGAACCCAAGAGCGATGGCCTCCAACCTAAAAGCGATGGCCTCTGCCTAAGACCGAATGCCTCCAACCTATTTGCGATGGCCTCCAACTTTAAAGCGATGGCCTCCAACCTAAGAGCGATGGCCTCCAACCTAAGAGCAATGGCCTCCAACCTAAGAGCGATGGCCTCCAACCTAAGAGCGAT